GACCTCTCCAAAGGTCTGAAAGGACAGATAATCTTGATCAAATCTAGCTATACAACAAGGAGAGGACTTTTGGGACAAGAATGGAGACAAAGCTTCAAAAGACATAGATCTATGCCATAAGAAGGTCAAGCAAGAAACTTTATACCTTAAACCAACTCCAAAGGGTGGTATTTCTTCAGATCCACTAGCTCCACACGTTCTTCTTCTTATTTGACAACTTCCCTTTTCTCCTTCAAGCCTTTCTTTTCCCAACACAAGCTTTTCAAGGTCAAACACACCCAAATATGAGAGGATACGAGATCTAGGGTTTCTCTGAGGTTGAAGATGAGCATAAGGGGGCTGAGGGGTGAACCATCATGTTCCTTATATTGTGGCTGACCCTAAAAATAGGGTTTGGGGTTTCTAAGAGTACGCTGGGCGTACCTCCCTGGTACGCTGGGCGTACTCACCCGGCTACCCGCAACCATTCGTCCCATTACGCTGGGTGTACGTCCAGCTTACGCTGGGCATACCCAGCCACCTTTCAAAAAACAAAAGCATGCATGCATGCCATGCATGCATGGGACCATTTCCTTCTTATTACACAAAGAACTATAAACAATGATCAACTTCGAGGCACCGCAAATCCTCTAATCTAAACCCACTCTCAAATGACTTACATTCATACGAGGGTGACGAGAAGCCCAATACTTCTAACACATACACTCGCCCGAAACCTTCTCGGATGAAACTCATTTCTCGAAAAGGACCAGAATTACCTTTCTCTTAAACCTCAAGGACTCATAATTAAACACTTGAAAAACGGGGTGTTACAAGTTTCTCAGCACTGCAGGGCAAGAGAATCTTTGGTACTTAGACAACGGTTGCTCAAGACATATGACAGGATCCAAGTCTCTCATGGAAGACTATGTCAAGAAAACTGGTCCTGCAGTAACATACGGAGACAATGGAAAGCGATTTACTAAAGGATGTGGGAACATCAAGTGCAATAATGTGGTGTTTCAGAATGTTTCATATGTAAAGGGTCTCAAACACAATCTCATCTCAATCAGCCAATTGTGTGATGCTGATAACGAAGTTCATTTTTCCAAGAAGGAAGGAAGAGTCATCAACACTGACAAGAACATTGTACTCTCAGCAAGTAGAAAAGATGATATATATATATATATATATATATATATATATATATATATATATATATATGTTCTTGACATGTTCTCAAGTGACAAGGCACTGATGCAATGTTTCTTTACCAAGTCTCAAACCAATCTCAGCTGGATTTAGCACAAAAGGTTCTCTCATTTGAACTGTAAGAATCTATCTAAATATCCAATCAAGATCTAGTTAAAGTTCTCCCAAAACTCAGCTTTGTCAAAGACAAGATGCGCTCAGCGTGTGAACAAGGAAAGCAAACCAAGTCATCATTCAAACCCACGCATGTTCTAGCATATCTGTTCCTCTTCATTTATTGCACATGGAATTGTTTGGACCTATTCCTGTTCGTTCCCTAGGAGGAAATAAGTATACGCTGGTGGTTGTGGATGAGTTTACCCGATTTACGTGGGTGGCTTTCTTGAAGAAGAAAGGTCAAGCTGCACAGGAAATTATCTCACTGATTCGACAAAACGAGACACTGACTAGTCTCAAAGTTAAGCAGCTAAGGAGTGATCATGGCACTGAGTTCCAGAATTCGACTCTTGAAAACTTTTTAGCTCCTCGCACGCCTCAACAAAATGGAGTTGCTGAACGAAGAAATCGAACACTGATTGAGGCAGGAAGGACCTTAATGATTCATGTTGGTCTTCCTATGTCGTTTTGGGCTGAAGCTGTTAATACAGCATGTTGTACTCAGAATCGCTCTCTAATTCATAGGGTTCACAAGAAGACACCATATGAGATGCTGAAAGTCGGACGTATCCTTCTTTCACGTGTTTGGATGCATTTGTTATATTCTTAATCAGCGCGATCCCAGATCAAAATTTGAGCCTAAGGCTGACAAAGGTATTTTTGTTGGATATTCATCTATTTCAAAGGTTTTTCATGTTTTTCATGTGAACAGGCAGTGCATTGAGGAATCCATTCATGTAAAGTTTGATGAAGAATCATACACTGATGAAAAAGTAGCTCATTCCTCTTGTATCTTTCAAGAGCTTCTCTCTTGCCCATATGATGAAGTTTCTCATACTGAAGAAGAAGCTATTATTCCTGATCCTATCACTTCAGACCTAAGTTCTGTAAATCAAGGTACTGAGGTCAGCTCGACAACTCATTTGTCCGATGCTGATGAAACCCTTGAGACTGAAGATTCTCCTGCAACTGATGTTCCTTTCAGTAATAACACTTTAGTGTCAAATCCATTGGAATCAGCTTCTGGACATCGAGATCACCCTGTTGATCAAATTATTAGGAATCTTCATGATGGTGTCTGAACCAGATCTCATGTATCTAATAATTTTTGCATGTATGTTAATTTCGTTTCAATGATCTTACCTGACATACACTCAGCTCTTCAAGATGCTGACTGGATTAAATCCATGAAAGACGAGCTGAACGAGTTCGAAAGGCACAAGGTTTGGACTCTTGTTCCCAGACCATCAGGAAAGACCATCACCGGAACACGCTGGGTTTACCGCAACAAGGTTGATAAAGATGGTATTATTACTCGCAACAAAGCAAGACTTGTTGCTCAGGGGTTCACTCAAATTGAATCTACTGACTACGGGGAAACTTTTGCTCCAATTGCTCGCATTGAAGCAATCAGACTGTTTCTCGCTTATGCCTCATACATGAACTTCATTGTCTACCAAATGGATGTCAAAACAACATTTCTTCATGGTGTGTTAGAAGAAGAAGTGTTTCTCAAACAACCCCCAGGCTTTGAAGACAAAGAGCACCCTGACTATGTGTACAGACTAGATAAAGCTGTATATGGACTAAAGCAAGCTCCTAGGGCCTGGTATGAGACACTGAAATCATATCTTCTTGAAAATGGCTACAGAAGAGGAGCAATTGATAATACTCTCTTCATCAAAAACAAAGGCTCAGACATGATTCTTGTTCAAATCTATGTCGATGATATCATCTTTGGATCTCCAAATGAGAAGCTGAGCAAGGAATTCGCTGAAATCATGTCTCAAAGGTTCGAGATGAGCATGATGGGGAAGATGACCTTTTTCTTAGGTCTTGAGGTTCAGCAACAAAAATCAGGTATCTCAATTTGTCAAAGTAAATATATTGCTGACATGCTTGTTAAGTACTCTCTCAGCGACTGCAAACCAACTTCTACTCCGGTGTCCAAGACTGATAAGCTACACGCTGATCCCACCGGCACTGATGTTAATCACTCTCTTTATCGAGGAATGATTGGATCTCTTCTCTACCTCACTGAAAGTCGCCCTGATATCATGTTTGGAACCATTCTCTGTGCTAGATTTCAAGCTAATCCCAAGGAGTCTCATCTCATTGCAGTTAAACGCATCTTTCGATACTTAAAGGCTACTTAGAACTTGACATTGTGGTACCCTCGTGACTCAGCACTTGAACTCTTTGGATACACTGATTCCAACTATGCAGGATACAACTTAGACAAGAAGAGCATGTCAGGTGGATGTCATTTCCTTGGAAATTGACTAATCAGTTGGTTTAGCAAGAAACAAACCTCAGTAGCTATCTCCACTGCAGAAGCTGAGTATGTTGCAGATGGGAGATGTTGTGCTCAACTCTTATGGATTTAGAATCAACTTTTAGACTATGGGCTTAAATTCACAAAGACTCCTATATACCGTGATAACACCAGTGCCATTCAGATCATGCAGAATTCTGTTCAACACTCAAAGACAAAGCATATCGAGATCAGACATCACTTCATCAGAGACAATGTTGAGAAGGGTAAGGTTGTTCTAAAACATGTCAAGACTTCAGATCAACTAGCTGATATTTTCACCAAGGCCCTAGATACTCAAACTATTGCTCACATTATTGAAGAACTTGAAATGATCACTCTGGATTGAAAATATTTTACTAATGTTTGCTATTGTCTTATAAACTAATGTATTTTTTTTTGCTGATGATGATATGCTGATGATGTTTAGCATGTTGAGTACATTGTATGATCTCTTATCTCTATCTCTTCTACAAATCTTCTAAACTAAAGTTGAATGATTCACTGTATTAAACTATACACTGATAACAACCTGAAACTCTTTGCCGATGGTTAGACAAAACACCAAGATCTATCACACGCAACTATCCCTTCTTACCAATCTTACACTGATTCTGTGATTCAGTGTGACAAAACACATGCTGATGAGAGTCTAACAGTCTTTGCCGATGGTTAGACCAAAACACCAAGGTCTATCACACACAACTATCCCTTCTTACCAATCTTACACTGATTTTGTGATTCAGTGTGACAAAACACATACTGATGAGAATCTAACAGTCTTTGCCGATGGTTAGACCAAAACACCAAGGTCTATCACACACAACAATCCTCTCTTCACCTTCTTCTCACTTAGTGTCTAATGATTCAATAAGAAGCACCACTCACTGATAAAGGCTCAACACTCTGTGCTGATGGTTAGATAACTAAAGCAATATCTATCACACACACCAACCACCTTGCTAACCTTAAACAAACAAGTTGTACCTTGAATTGACGACGGACTATCTTTCAGCATGTAACTTTTCGTGACACTGATCTTAGCACTTCCGCAGACACTGATTGTCGTTTCCTCATCAATACAACGACTCTTTTTACCCAATGGCTATATTTTTTTTTGATTTGACAGTTTGTTAAGATACGCAGTTATTTTCGATAAAGATAATCATTACCTTTTTTTTAAAAAAAATCGTTTAATCCCATATTTAAACTTTTTCCACCTCTCTCCCAAACCTTCCTCCCATCATTCAAACTTCCTTCTCTCTCTTCAAAACCCTAGAATCCAAACTCTCTTTAATGGCGGCATCACTGTTTACCTTCTCTCATTCTGTGTCAATGTATGACTCCAGGATGGAAGTTCTTCACCGGGGCACTTTGCAAATGTGTGGGTCACAAATCTCGTAGTGGTGATCAACTGAGTACTTATGAGCAACAAGTTGTTTGTTCCCTTCTTCTCAACAAACGTCTTGATTATGGGGCCTTCTTCTTTGATCAGCTTGTCCAACTTCTTCGTGCCAATGTACGAGCTGATCATGTCCCATATCCACGCTGGATTGATCTTGTCCTGGATAAATTTTTCATTGAAGCCTACTACTCCCACTCTGGAAACCCCATCCAATGCCCACGTATGTCAGTACAAATGTATCAGGATGATCCACTGGCAAATGACATCAACATCTCTGATCAGATGCGAGAATGGATCGCAAATCCATATACCGTTCCTTCACTAAACGCTGACACTAACGAAGGAGCTGATGATAACAACGAAATTGATGCTGATCTACAAGCTGAAATGCAAGGCGGTGGTCATATCTCCCCTCAACTTTCTCATCATACTATTTCTGTCACTGAAAGGGTTCACTTAGCTCAGGGGGAGCAACAATCTCAGGGGAAACAACCATCTGCTCAGGGGGAACAACCATCACAAGGGATGCCACCATCTCAGGGGGAGCAACCTTCTCAGGGGGAGCAACATCGATCACAAGAAATTCTAGGTACTCAGCTCATTCAAATCCCGGCCTCAACGTTTAATGAGCTTCTTACACTAACTCGAGACATGAGTCAGCGTCTTCTACGTATTGAGGCTGATGTCAACCAACTGAAGGGAGTTCTTCTGTCAACTCCTTCCCCTGGCCCAAATGATGATGATGATCAAAAAGGGGGAGAAACTGATTCTGTTGAGCTTGGATCTGAAGAGAACATTTTAAATCAGACCGAGCCACCACAGCCTGTGCACGACTCTGAGAGACCAACGGAAATTGAAAAGATTACTGAAGATAGTGAGCATGATGATGAAGATGAACATGATGATGAGTGTCAGATGCTGGACCTGAACTTCATTGATCCCACTGTACCAGTACAAGGAGAAGACTCAGATGATGATGAAGATGAGCATGATGATGAGTGTCAGATGCTAGACATGAACTTCATTGATCCCACTGTGCCAGTTCAAGGAGAAGACTCAGATGTAGTTAGTGAGGATCTTCAACCTTTATCTCGCAAGCGCATGGCAGCAGATACTGAATTTTCCGATTCACATACTGACACTTCTCTTCCCAGCAAGAAATATAAGTCCATTGTCAGCATATCCAATTTGGCAGCTGACTGGAACATGTCTCTTGATCAAGTTAAGCAAATCCTTGATGAAGCCAATAAAGCTCAGCTTCTAAAGAATATTGCTCAAGCTGATGAATCCCTCATTCAACACAAACTTCAGGCCAAAGGATCATTTGAAGCTCAGATGCAAAGGTTTTTAGAATATCAGTCCAAATCTAAATCTTCACAGCCTCCTCCCAGTAGCAGTAAGTCAAGGACTGATAGTGTTCTCGACAGGATTGATCGCAAGAGGTTTCAAGATGTTCTTAAATGAAGAGTGAGCAGTGATAAGATCATCAAAGTTAAAGCCTCAAAACCTCGTAACAAGAATATTCTTACTTTGCTGATCACTCGTTAAGGTCCTCAACATCCGTACACTGCAGTTGTAAAGAGAGACGAGATGATCAGATACGGATACTCTGAATGGATGGAATTGCTCGAATTAGCATCTAAGCAAACTTCAGCTCTTTCTTCAGAACTGACCTGTTCTCTTCACTTATTGATCAAGAGAGTTCAGCATCTTGATCTTGTTCCTACACAGCGTCCTCAGCAGCAAGGCCCAAGTTCCTCAGTTTCAAGAATCATAAGAACTAAATTTCAAGTTGATAGTGAAGATGTATTGGTTCTAAATTTTGGTGCTGAAGGAATAAACAACTCTCTTCCTATCAGTGTTGAGCCGGTTCAACATAAGTTCATCTCTGTTCCTGAACATGGAATGTTTTATCTTGATAAGAACAGGAAAATATGTTTTCAGCGTACTACAGAAATTCCAAGGGCTCCAACAGAACATCTTGTTGGTTTAAGACAAATGTGCATGAGTCATCAAGATCTCTTTGGAGAGTTTCACATATTGATTGCTATGGAGTTACTGAATAGAAGACAGGAGCTGCTGGATAGTCCTTACTGGCCAGTGAAAGTAGAAGCTGAAGCTGAGTATGAAGAATTTTTGTCCAAAGGTGTTCTAGTCTAGATTTCATCATATTGGGGGAAATTGTAAGGTCGAACCTTATAATATGATGATGTTTGAAACTGGTCACTCAGTGGTAGCACATAATCCAGCGTCAGCATACCAGTTGTTCAATGTATAGTTTTATATTCAACATTTTGTAATAGATTTAGTACTTATCTTGTTTCCATAGTTATCGTCTATTAGTTAGCTGGTATATCCCTGATTTGTAGGGATTGCCTAGATTAATTATATATAGTCTTTTGTACACGTTTGTGAAATACATCTTTCACAAACCCTAATAGCCGCTTTGTGCATTCGATAATCTCTTTGTGAGATTATTATTCTTAGTGAAAGTTCTTTGTGAAACTTCGTTGTTCTTGATGATAGTCATTGTTTGATAAATTGTTTGATCTAAAGTCCTCTCACTTTATTTTTTTTTATGATTTCTGTAATAAGAATATTGAAAAAAGGAAAATATCAAAGACAAATATTTTTTTATAAAAAGTTTTGAGAACTTTAGACCAAACTCGTAATGAAATCAAACTTTTAGACTACTTACTGTCCAAATCTTTTTGGACAAAACTTATGAGTTGTGATATAAAACAATGTTCATTTTTGCAACTTTCTCGTATAAAAAGGAATTGAAAGCCAATAATTGAACGGGTACACGACAAATTCTCATGAAAAGCAAAAATATCTATCGATTGAGTGATGTCTCATATATGCTAGTTAACATTACAGCCTCCCATTGTATTATTTCTCATGTTTCAAAACACCAATAAGGGGGGATCTATAGAATTTCCCGGAGGGGCCCGTGTATGTACTCAATTTTTTCTTATTAATGTAAAAAAAATCTATTACTTTGAGACTACAAAAAATATTATATGATTAGTCTAGTTCAGTAATGTAATTAAACAGTGATATTGTTTGAGTTGTTACAACATGTGGATTAAAGTTCTTTTTTGTAATAGGTTTGGGTTCAATTCCAACCGTAAACAAATTACCATTTTTATTTTACCCTCATTTTTTTTCTTCTTTTTTTTAGGTATACCTTTATCATAAAAAGAGTCTAAATTACCTAAGACCTTACCTCATGGCATCTTTAATTAACTGCAATGCCTTCTATCAATTTAAATTGCTTATTTTATTCCATTTAATATTACATATATTTACTTAAATTTTTATTAACATAATTAATTATATAACTACTAAGAACCATTAATATATACATATATATATATATATATATATATATATATATATATATATATATATATATATATATATATATATATATAGGAGTAGGATCAAATGAGAACATCTAAAAGGTTGAGAACGCGAGAACAAATCTGAACCATTTAAATATTTAGATCTAAGGCTATTATTAAATGGACGATTTATGATAAATTCTAAAACTACAGGGCATTAAAGTGTAACTTTTAAATTGATAGAAGGGCATAATAGAAATTGCAAAATTACCTATTTCCTACAATTTCTCCCCCTCTCTCCTCTTTCCTTTCATAATCTCGTATCTTTATCTCCACCGATCTCTCTATAGGGTTTCAAAATAAGCGCCTCTCTCAATGAAATCGAGTCCTTTTTCTTTCCTCTCTTCCTGTCGATCGCTCCACTGGCGTCTTACCCCAACTTCAGGTTTGAATCCACATATCAAATCAGTGACATTGGATTCCAGTTCCATGGCAATCATCGACGATCCGACATCGGCTTTCGCTTCAAAAGAAGAAAGTCCAACGAAGATCGGTGCTAGGGTTAGGTATGAATTTCTAGATCTCTGATCATTTATTTCGTTTGACTAATCATTAATGATGAAGAAATTCAATTTTAGTAGTTGGGGAGGGTGAACTGTAGTTTTAGAAAGAACCAAGGACAAAATCGTCATGATATTACAATGGAGCATGACGTGTTGATTAGTAAATACGAGCATACTCGTTGTATATATACAGCGATAAGCCTCATGCCTTCATCGATGGGCCACTCGATTGCGCGATTCTTTGCTTTGATTGTGTGCATCACCGATGATCAAAATTTTCTTTTTCCAATTGTAATAGTTCTCCAAAGTTTGGATTGACGAGACTCGTTTGATCTGTATATTTTGATTTTCCGCCAGGTATCCGAAACCCTACCTTTGTGTATTACATATGTATGTCTGCTTATGTTGTGGTTGAGATTCGAATGGTTATGGTATTAAATCGATTCAGTTGGCAGATGTGAAACAAAATAAAATGGAAGTTATTTGCTTCGAGAAACTGATGCTTGTCCGGTTTGAAGTGCTGGAATGAAAAATGAACGAGTTTAGGACTGGTAATGGTTCTGTTTAAAGAAAGACCGGTGCTTCGGTTTTTATCTGTTTCATTTCCGTGTGCCTGAGACTTCATTGAGTGCCTTCGTTAAGATTTTGTTTTACTATATATTTGTTAATTTCGACGAGTTCATGGCATAGACGTTATACCGAAGCTTTGCTAGATCTTTAATTACGTTCTCAGGGAGCCATGTTGTGAAATTATATCTACTTGCTCAACTGGGATGTTCATTTACTCGTCTATCTTTACTAATGCTGTAGCATGATCTAGGTTCAGTAATTATGGTATTTAATATCCTTAGATATTAGTTCAAAGGATTAAACCAAGTGGAAACAGTTACAGATTTACAGGGCAAAACAGCGTGTAGTGTTCTCCCTCTTGAGTATTTTATTCTTAGGGTTTTGTAATTCTTCTCAAGTGTAACTACTCTATTCTGCCCTGTATTGAATGCACTTTTTGACACTGTAATCCTTTTCCATGAATTGGGTTTAGAACAATTGGTTATGTATAGAAGTTCCATGTTTTTCATGTTGAAGGATATGACTGCCTAATCAGCTTCTGTATACTCGATATATCTTCCCATTGGAGCAATAAGATCCCTCATGCCTTCATCGATATGACATCGACTTTCAGTTCACCCTCCCCAACTACTAAAATTGGCAAAAAAAACCCCTTTCCATTAAGCTCAAAGGTAGCCTTACACTCCCTTCAACCTTTTCATTTAATTTTCATTCTATTGATTTACATCATCAAAAGTGTATTCATTTATGAATATAATTAAAATTATAGAAGTTCATATGTATTTTGTATTTTGTTCAGTCTCTTCATTTACTAAATTTGCTTCATTTAATTGATTGTTAATTGCATTTAATTCTGATTTTGGAGTTTTCTATCAAGAACATGAAACGATGAAGTATGAAATTGTTTCAGGAGCGAAGAAAGAACAATATGGAGCACCTCCACTGATTTGGTGGTTCATCGCAGTAGTGGAGTGGTAGGGGCTATTCTGGCAACCTCTTCACCACTTCGTTTTCTTATTCCAGTTACTGTCGATGAGAGGGGGAGGAAGTAGAAAGAAAATGACAACAGGGGGTGTTTGGGTTGCTTGGTGTGTCATAAAACAGTGGGAGAAAATGGAAGGGGTTATTGCCCTTGGCTAGCCGGAAACCACTAGCAAACACCTCTAGTGGGGGTGTTTTTGTTGCACCTCGAAGACAGGACAAAAATAAAGGAGTGTGAGAGGAAATAGAAGAATGAAAAATTGTATTTATCTATGAATAGCAGTGCATTGATGTGTGAATAATAGTGAATGAATAGAAGTGCATTCATGTGTGAATATCAGTATATTCATTTGTGAATAACATTGAATGAATGTATTTAATTATGATTAGAGGTATTCATTTATTCAATTCTGAATAACAAGGTACTTATTTGTTAATAACAGTTTATTCATTTGTGAATAACAGTGTAAGCATGTGTTAATGAGTATATTTATTTATGATTAGAGGTATTCTTTTTGTGGAGAAATGATAATTTTTACAATCTTTTTTATTTTCAACTGATTAAAAAAAGAAATTGGATTACTTGTAAATTGATGTGTATTTATTTGTGATTGGAGTAGTATCAGGTTTTTTTGAAAAAAAAAACGTGAAATAGGAGAAAAAAATTGATTTTTTAAAGAATTTTTTTCAATTTTAAAATAAATTTTGATAAAAATGTTTTTTATATTCCATTAATAAGAAAAATAAAAAATTAAATATTTATTTCTTTTTTGGTAACTGATCCTAAATTTAAGGGAATTTGATTGAATTTTATATTATTTTAATTTAATTAAAATATACAATTACTAGTATACCTTATCTATTGATTGGTTCAGAATTGTTCTCGCGTTCTCAACCTTTTAGGTGTTCTCATTTGATCCTCTCCCTATATATATATATATATATATATATATATATATATATATATATATATATATATATATATATATATATATATATATGAAAGTTGAATATACCCTTAAGGGTATATAAGTTTAGGTACCTAAAATCACAATAATACATCGTTTTGTTTAATATATTCATTATAATGTTCCTAAACTTCAATCTCTAACTTGATTTACTTTCAATATTTTCTAAATTTCACTATTATCTTCATATTACATGACATCTTAATGTTCCTAAACTTCAATCTCTAACTAAGAGTAAGATAAATGTGAAATTTATAAAAATCTTGAAAGTAAATCAAGTTAGAAATTGAATTATAAGAATATTAGACAATTACAATGTATATATATGATACAAAAAGATGTAGTATGGTGAATTTGGGTACCTAAGTTATATACCCTTAGGGGTATATACACTTTTCCCTATATATATATATATATATATATATATATATATATATATATATATATATATATATATATATATATACCATTAGACAAAACTACAAAAATGGTTCTTACGTTTTATATTTTTTCTAGGGTTTAGTCAAAATCTTGATTTTTTTGGATCAATGGTCATTTTGAGCACGTTTGTTCGTGGTTATGATTATTTGACAAACTAAATAGACTTAAATGCCCTTTTATTTTTATGTTTATATTTTTAATAATTAATTTTACATTTTATTAATTAAAAAACAAGAGAGGAACCTCTCTTTCCTCTCTTTCTCGTAAAGACGCACACCCACCTCTATCTCTCTCCTGCACCTCCCAAAACATAGAACCCCCTCTCCATTAGAACCTGCAGCTGCCATCTGTTCCCGCCACCACCACCATCAGATGCTACCAGCCAAGGTAACTGATTTTCTGCCTCTACCCTGATCAAAACCCATATCCATCACCACCCTTTCCCTTCAATAACCCTAAATCAGATTTGAGGAAAAGAACCCCGACCTTTTTTTATTTCGAATGTGTAGAAGTAACATAAGCATCTCATTTTTCCATTGTTGTTCCCGTCACCTTACCTCCACCCTGCCACCACATCCATTCACATCTGCCACCCTCAATGGAAATCATTTGTTTTTTATCTCAATCATAACTCAACAATTGAACCCCTTTCCAAATTTGTTCATGGTAAAAATCAAAGAAACTTATAATCAATCTTTTGAAAGAACCCAAAATAAAATTTTCCATGTTCAACATCTTCCCTAAAAATTTGTCACCATCAAGAAATCTACCATTCAAGGTGACTATATATCAACATATCTAAGAGAAAAATAATGGATTCGGAATCTAATTAAAGGGATGTTAGGTCAGATTTGTTTCACACTTGATCTTTGGAATTCGTCCCAAACAACCGATTATGTTTTTTTTTTATTTTTTTATTTTTTGTAATGGGTCAATTCATTGATAGTGATTGCAAAGTCCAGAAAAACATACTAAACATTGTAATGGAACCATACCTTGAATTGGATTTTGCTTTCAACCACGTGGTATCTTCTTGTTTATTAGAATGGAATATAGAGGGACGATTGTTTTCACTAACAATACACTAGAGTTTGAGTGGAGTAAATGGAGAAGATGGGTCTTATTGTTTTTATTAAGGTGAGGGTATTGAAACATAATAAAGGGTAGAGAATGGTGTTGTAGGTAATGAACAAGAAGAAGAAGACGATGTGGTGGGGTGAGTACGGGAAATTGATGATATATATATATATATATATATATATATATATATATATATATATATATATATGTAAAAATAAAAATATAAGGGCATTTTAGTCTTTTTATGTAATATCCCGATGGCGAGGTTCTTCTAAATTTAACCCTATAATTTTATTATATTGCATTTTGGGTTCATAGGTAGAAGGAAGTGTGCATTGGAAACCCTAGTGGCAATTTCGTATTTTGGAGGGTTTGGGAGTATGCCTTGTGTATGTATGTACGCTTAGCATACTAAGGCGCGCCTTCGTATGCATGGAATACATAGGTACACAGGGAATACGCATCTAACATGAAAACCCTAATTTTTAGGGTTTGGCTCATATTTAAACCCCATTATAACCTCATTTTCCCTCACCTTATCAGCCTCCACCCTCTCATACGTGTTTGCAGCCCTAATACCCTCTTGAGAAGCCATTTCTTAGCTCGTGTGTATGTTTCGATGATTTTGAAGAAGAAGGAAGGAAGAGTAGACTACCTTGAAGGAGTGAAGCTCTCTAGATCAAAAATCACACCACCTTTTGACACTATTTTGAGGTATCAAGTTCTGAACATGGTGTTGTTTCTTATAGATCTTGTTTTGGGTTAGTTTTAGGTTCTTTTTGTTCCAAATGTGGTGTTTTATGAAAAAAGCGTGTTCTTGACCCATTAAGGTGTCCTTTTAGACCCTTGAGAGGGTCTTGAGTCATAAAAATGGGTTGCAAATGGTTGGTTTTGCTCCATGCATCTTGTAGAAGGTCTTAATGGATTAAGAAGTTGAGATAAGTACTTAATGGGCATGTAAAGTCATAAAGTTGGAAACTTTATGACTCTAGAGTGTATTTTACCCTTGGATCTAAAATATGGACGTAAGTGCTTAATCCATTAAGCACTTAATGGTTTTTGAAGTTTCGGGGAGTACGCCCCGCGAACTCGGAGTATGCCCCACATACGAGGTCAAACACCCCAATGGTGGTCAAAATGTTAGGAATCGAGTATACCCAGCGTACCTTCGGTGTACGCTTCACATACTCACACTGGGTCAACTCGGTTGTATTGACTCGGCTGGGTTGACTCAGTTAACTTAGTTAGTTTGACTAGTTGACTTTGACTTTGACCAAGTTTGACCTTAAGGGTATTTGGGATTCTAATAGAGGTTGGTCATTTGCTTGGAATAGGAGGCGGTTGGAGCTGAGATTAGGAGTTGAGACCTCATTAGTTTTTTTCGAGTTTACAAGGTGAGTTTTCCTCACTATACTTGCGGTCGACGGCACCAAGGCCGGCCCATTAGTTGATATTCACTATTATGCTAAGTATGGAATAGATATACATGAGTATGCTATTTATTAATATGCTAGTCTAGTAGATCTGTAGGACTACCTGTGTTTCTGCTTGCATGATTATGTGTATATGTTTATTATCTGATATATGTCAACATATTGTGTTGGGTTGAGGTTGTACTTCTCTGTGCAGTGGCCAAAAAACCCTGGAGCATTCCAGATATGAGCTGACGGTCGGGTAGGGCATTTTAGGCTCATATGGAGGGCTCATGAGCATTCTAGATACAGGCTGACGATCGGACGGTATGCCTGACTCACATTGAGGGATTGATGATATTTCAGTCTGAGGACTGATCCGGTCAGAGAGCAAGCCAGACATAAGCTATTGGCCTTGAGGACAAGCTAGACTTATGTTGTGGGCTCAACGGTAATCCAATCTTTTAGCTGTGGACCCAATGTAAGTTGTTATTCTATATTTTATTCGGTTATGTGATGGTATTTTGGGGCAACTCACTAAGCATTGGCATATAGTTTTGGGTTATGTTTCAGGTACTTCGGATGACTATGGGAAGGCGAAGGCGTGATCATACACATCCTCTTGTTATGATATATGATTTTGGGAAAACTCTAACACTAGAAATGTTTTGAAAACTATTTTGTAAATACATTATGGTTTTGGGTTGTATTTAAAAAGTTTAAATTTATCTTGATTTTTATGAGTGTTACAAGTTGGTATCAAAGCCTTGGTTTGATTGAATTGGAGGAACACTCATGTGAATCCAGTCTCAAACTAAGGAAAAAGATTATAAAAAAAATTCAAATTGTTTTCAAAATAATCGAAGAGGATGCGATGTGTACGATCAGCCGATGCCAGTAAGTAGGGCCAAAATTTCCACACTGTTATTTGATCTTGTGCTATGTTAGAATAGCATGCTAGTGTTAGGCTAGGGATCTTCAGGAGTTGCATGATAAAATTGCCTAATTATATGATGCATAATAACCTAGGGTTATTCCTTATGTGAAATTGACATCATTAATGTACTTGCTTAGTGTATGAATCATAATTGTACATAACTAAGATTCTATAGCCTGAGACTGTTTGGTTTGGCCTTATTTCATGTTCTTGTTTGACGAAGGGCTTAGGGTAGAATCATGTATTCGGCTATCTATAGGGTCCATTGTTTTGTATGATTAGCATACACGGTGTTGCAGGGTTAGTGGAAGTTTCATAAATGTGTTGTGTGGGGTCAGTCGTCCAACTTCGTAATGTTTAGCCTTCCTCTAGGAAGTGGGTATTGAGCGAATGCTCATGTTAGTGTGTATTGTTAGTGTAACATTCAGAATTTCAGGTATATTATTGTGTGTTTAATTTTGAGATTTGTGGAGTGACTCGACGAGTTGTGAGTCCAACTCGTCGAGTAGATTCGAGTTGTCCACGTGGGATTAATGAATGGACTCGACGGGTCAGAGTGCCGACTCGCTGAGTAGGTGCTGGGCAAAGAAACCCTAAATTTCTAGGGTTGGGGCCTATATAAGGAAACTTATGCCCTTATTTCTGCCT